TCCCTGTCATTACCGCCCTGGAGTTGGTGTCGACCATCCTTCATACACTTCTCCCCACGCCAGATCAACAGAGCAGCCACACAGGGACAGGCAAATGAAAGGTTCTTGGTAATGAAGGCTGGCCTGACAGATGACAGGAAAGCCAGCGGTGGGGGGCACAGCAGACTGCTAGAGAGGGAGGAAGGTTCCACGCTGGAAGCTGGGCCAAGGTTTGCCCTTGCCGCTGCGTCAAGGTCCTAGGTGCAGCTCAGGAGGTGAAGCTTTCCTACCTTGGTTCATGAGGGTGTGGCCAAGGAAATGCTCAAAGCTCCCTTCCTCTGTTGCTGGGTTCCTCACCTCCTTGCTCTCCCTCCTGAGAAAGAGCCCTAAGTCAGGAATAAAACCTCGAGGGCAGGGGGCCAGAGAAATAGCTCAGTGGGCCTCATGCATGCAAAGCCTGAGTTCCGTTCTGGCTCTCCACGGTCCCAGGAGCTCTGCCAGGAGCAATCCCTGAGCACAGAGCCAGGAGTGGCCCCCAGCCTGGTCAGTCAGGTATGGCTATATATATACACACAAACACACACATACACATGTATAATACACATATACATATATAATACATATACTAAACAAAGCAAACAAAATTTTTTGAAATAAAAGAAAAAGGGCTGGAGCGATAGCACAGGGGGTAGGGCATTTGCCTTGCACGGGGCCGATTCCCATATGGTCCCCTGAGCACCGCCAGGAGTGATTCCTGAGTGCAGAGCCAGGAGTAACCCCTGTGCATCGCTGGGTGCGACCCAAAACCAAATAAATTTAAAAATAAATAAATAATTAAAAAAAAAAACAAAAAATAAAAAAACAATTTGTTAACACAGGGAAACTCAGTAGCACAAGGCCCTGGGTGGGGGGGATGGTTTTTCTTTTGTTTTAATTTGGTGAACCACATCTGACCGTCCTCAGGATTGACTCTGCACACTGGATCACTCCTGGCACTTCTCAGGGCACCATATGGAGTGCCGAGGATCAAACCTGGGTAGGGCTCGTGCAAGGCAAGCACCTTACCCACTGGATTATTTCTCCAGTCCCCACAAAAGAAAACTCTGATCCAACCTGTCTGGGCATTTTAGGCCAGGAGACGGGGGCCAGAAGCCACAGTCACCTCATTCCAAAAGCAAGTCAAGGAAAAAGGCAGATATGACAGAATGGCCTAGGGCGAGAATGCCGCCCTGCATGAGAGCAAGTTTCTGGGTTCTAGAAACAGGGGCCCCTTTGTGCCTGAACTTAGACTCACACTCAAGTTGGTTAGTGAGAGGCCAGAGGGAAAGTGCAGCAGGTCAGGCGCTGGCCTTGCACACGGCTGGCCTAGGTTCAATTCCCCTGCACTCCAGAGTCCCCTGGGCCCCACCAGGAGTGATCCCTAAGCAGAGAGCCAGGAGTCAGTCAGGTGTGACCCCAAAACAAACATAAAATAATGCTTAAGGAAATGGAAAGCCAGTCCTGAAATGGGAAGTTGGTAACGTTTGGAACAGCAACAACGAACAAGAAAATCAAGCAGAGAATTTAGGTCCATCTAGGAGGAAACCAAAACCAAACAGAAGCTAAGAACTGACACTTAGAATACAACAGCTGACGGTGCCAGGCGTTGGGAGATCCCAGCCGGAGGGACTGAGGTCTGCGGACAAGGCACCCCTGGGGCCAGGCTGGGAGGGGCCTGCTGGGGGAGGGTCACAGTGCGGCTACTTTCCCTGTGGCTTCTCACCGGTGCGAAGGAGCTGCTGACAAACACATGACAAAAACGATGCTGTCCCTTCCAGGACCTCTCAAGTTGTACCTGCTCCAAGGGGGCTCACCCGCTTAAGACCAGGAATTGCCTGGCACAGGGTATGGAAGTGGGACTTCAACAACGGTCAAGAGCGGGAGATGTGTAGGTGCCCGTCGACAGAGGAGTCCGCAGAACAGATGTGACTCGGGACAGGAGAATGGCACGAAGGTCTGGGGCCCAGGCTTAGCAGAGGACAGCCCTGGGTGCCATCAGGCCCGCACAGTCACCTGAGCCCACAAAAATAAGATATCCCACACACATATACACATACACACCATACACACACCACACTCATACCACACACACCAAACACACACACCATATACACACACCACACACCAATACACACACACCACACCCATACACACACACCACACACACCACACACACACCACACACGTACACACACCACACACATACGCCACACACCATATACACACACCACACACACACACACACACACGCACTTTTGTTTATCTTTACATTTATTAATGTAAAGATAAAATCCCATGGGGCCAGAGTGATAGCACAGTGGGTAGAGCACTTGCTTTGCATGCAACTGACCCAGGTTCAATTCCTGGTACCATATATGGAGGGTCATCTGGAGTGACCCCGTCAGGGGTGATCCCTGAGCACAGAGCAAGAAGTAAGCCCCAAGCACCATCAAGTGCCACACTCCTGCCCAAAAAAAGGTGAAATTCTGCCATCTGCAACAACACAGATTTACCTAGAGTGTTATGCTAGTGAAGTAAGTCAGACAGAGAAAGACGGCATCATATGATTTCAAACACATAAGTGTCGTATATGGATATCTACATCTACGTATCTATATAAATGAGCCTCGGGGCTGGAGAGATAGTTTAGAGGTCAAGGTGCTTGCCTTTCACAAAGCTGACCCTGGACTGATCTCCCGTACCACGTCTGGTCCCCAAGGAGCACCACCCAGGTGCTTTCTATTCTGGGCACAGATAGAAAATGCCCCTGATCACCCAAGGGTGGCCCCAACTCAGCCAATCTGCCTCATCTCCCAAGAGTAGATTCATTGTGTCTTCCTCAGAGAAGAGCCTGGGGGAAGGCAAGAACTATGTATAGGAAGACAGATTTGGTCATGGGAAGGATTCCTGCTAGGGCCAGGATGAAACTCGGCTGTAGAGGTCTGGGAACCCATCCCAGGAATGCAAAGAAAGAAGAAAGAAGAGAAATAGGAAGAAAGGAATATTCCTGCTTAGAGTTGGTCGAAGCCTGGGCCTCACACGCAAGAGACTCACACTCTACCTCTGAGTCAAATCCCCTGCTTTCTTTCTCCAAAGGTGCTGAAATGCACAAGGGAAAATGGAAACACGGGGAAGTAAGGTGACAATTCAGAAAAGCATTAGATACAGGGCCAGACAGCTGGTGCAGCAGGTACGGCACTTGCCTTGCGCACGGCTGGCTTGGGTTCAGTCCCTGGCACCCAGTTTGGTCATCCCAAGTCCACCAGGAGTGATCCCTATGTACAGAGCCACGAGTAAGCAAAAAAGAAGAAAATCACTAGCTATAAAAGAAAACACTGATTTCTAAAATCCAGATAAAACTAAAAGGAAAAAAGATATGACGCAACCTAAGTATCCTTACTGAAGGCAACCTTGAAGATGATTTTGTCCAAATTCCTCATTCTGGGAAACTTTTTGTTTGTTTCAGGGCTTGGGGCCACACTCTGTAGGGGTCAGTTCTGTTGTTGCCGTAGGACCCAGTGGTGCTGGGGATCAAATCCAGGTCGTCTGCATGCACAGCATGAGCTCCAGACCCTGAACGGACATTTTCTATTTAATTCCCTAACTAGGACCAAGTTTAAAATCTTCATCTCCCAAGCAGAACTTAACCCGGGCCAAAGAGATAGAACCGCCGCGGGTAGGGCGCTTGTCTTGCAAGAGACCAACCTGAGTTCCAGACCCATCACCCCCCAGGATCCCCTGAGCCTCCAGGGGCCAGCCCTGGACACAATCAGGAGTAAACCCTGAGCACCACCAGGAGTGACCCCCCCAAAAAAAGTCCAACTGCCGCAGAGTGCAAGTTTCTGACATAAATATCTCTCCCCCCTGAACCAGCTCGATCACGACCCCAGGAATTCCACCTTGAGCCACGAGGAGGCAAAGCACCGCGCCCAACCACGAGCGAGCTGACACGCGGCGTGTCCGAGCATCTTCTCTGCAACGTCACCGCGGCTCCTTCGGAGTTTGCAGAAGGGGGCTGAGCAGCAGGCGCTAAGGCTCGGCGCCTCCGCCTGCGATGGGGGGGGGCACCTGGGGGTCGGGGAGCCCCTCGGCTCGGCTCCGCGGCTCCTTTTCCAGCCACCCCCCTGACCTTTGCTGCTCCCTGACATTTCCCGAGTTTTGCGCCGAGCGCGGCATCAATGGCACATTGAAACGCGCCTCGGCGCCCCGCCGAAGGGGCGAGGGCAAGACACCGCGTCTCCCCGTTTTCCCAGGAGGAAAGCGAGACAGAAAAGAAGTTGGCGGCTCCCGCCAAGTTAGAAGACAGCAGGAGTCCGCGGGTGGCCGCGGCCGCTCCAGCACGCTCGGCGGAAGTCCGCGGGCTGGTCACCGCGGAGCTCCCCGGGGCAGGCGCGAGGGGTGCCCGGCCCCCGGCGCGGGGGGCTCGCTCGCTCGGAGAGGAGGGGGGACGCCGGGCGGGGAGGGGCGGGAAGGAAGCGGGTGGGCGACAGGTGGCTTCCGAAGGGACGGTCGCGATCACGGGCCCCGGGGACGGAGACGCGCGGCCCGACCGCCGGCGGCACCGGCATCGCGGACGCCAGCGCGCGGCGCGCGTGGACCGCGCGGGAACTGGGCAGCCGGCGCGGCCCGAGGTGCCCGTGGGGCGGGCGCGGCGCCCGTGTCCCCGCGGCCCCCCGAGGGCAGAAGCGGGCAGTCCCCAGCAGGCACCGGCCCCGGGGACGCGCGGGCAGGCCCGGGCTCGGAAACGCGGCGCCGCACCCCGCCCCCGGCCCCCGGCGCTGCTCCCGCGCCCCCAACTCCCCGCCCGACACCCACCCCGCCGCCTCCCCTCTCCCAGCGGGCGCCCGGGAGGAGAACGGGCCGGGAAGCGGGCGGCGGGGGGCGAGGCGGGTCCCCCGACGCGGGAGCCCCCGGGCTCGCGCGCGCCCACCCCCGCGCGCCCTCGCGCGCCCTCGGCCCCTGCCCCCGTCGGGGCTACTCACTCCGGTTCAGGGGGTTCCCGCCGCCCTGGGCCGACGCCACCAGTTCCAGATACAGCGTCCAGAGCCCCACGGACACCAGCGCGAGCAGCAGCAGCAGGCGGAAGCGCCTCCGCAGCAGCTTGGCGGGGCGCACGAGCAGCAGCAGCAGCGCGGCCCGGGGGCTCCCCATGGCGCGGCGCCCGCCGCTCCCCGGCCCGGCCCGGCCCGGCCCCGCCTTCAGCGCGGCGCCCCGGCCGGACCCCCCGGCCGCGCCGCCGCGGGTCGCGGGCTCATGCTGGAGGGAGAGCGCGGCTCCTCGGGCCGCCGCTCGGGCTCGGCTCGCGGGGCGCCGCGTCCCGCCGTGACGCTCCCTCTCTCTCCCTCTCTCTCTCTCTCTCGCACACACACACACACACACGCACACACACGCGCACACACGCGCGCGCACACATGCACACCCGGAGCCCACGGGGACGCCTGCTCGGAGCGCGCCCGCCGCCTCTCCCGGGCCGCCGCGCACCCACCTGTCCCGCCCCCGCCAGGCCCCGCCCCCGCCAGGCCCCGCCCCCGCACAGGTGGGCTCCGCCCTCCCTCCCGGGAACCCCGGGAAGCGGGAAAAGCCCCCGCCTGCCCCGCAAGGAGGCCGGGGCCTGGACACTCGCCCTCGGACACTCGCCCTCCCCTACCCCGGCGAGCACGGACGCGCCCGGGGCCGGGAGGAGAGGGCCCAGCTCCGAGGGGCACGGCACGTCGGGCAGCCGGCCCGGGCTTCCGTGCCCCCGTCGCCCAGCGCGACCCCAGCCCCTCTTCCAGGTCTCGGGACTAGGCTGGGGGGACCGGGGTTCGTTCTGAGTTCCTCTTCTTCCAGGTGCCGTTTGAAGACCTGTCTGGCCTCAACCGCAGCTTCGGAAGCTACTGCCCGGTCCATGCCGCTGCCAAGCAGGACCCCCGAGGCGCTCCCCCCCCTCCCCCCCCGCAGAGGAGAGATGAGGGCAGTATATAGTTGTTGGGTGGTCGAGGAGGTGGGGTAGTCAAAGTCTCTGAAAGAGAGCTAAAAATTCAAAGGGAAAGGGAGCCGGAGAGAGTACAGTGGGTAAGGCACAAAGCCGGACCCTCCCCTCCCGGGAAGATTGCTCCTCAGTCGGAAGCCTGCCCCGTGGGCTGGGGGAGAAGGCAGCTGGGATAGAGAAGGGCTCACTGAGACAGTCATGGTTGGAGGGATCACTCGGGAGGGGAGACGTGTGCTGAAAGTAGACAAAGGGCCAAACATGATGGCCTCTCAGTATCTGTATTGCAAACCAGAGAGAGAGAGAGAGAGAGAGAGAAAGGTGCCTGCGGGGAGGAGGGGGGTGTGGAGATACTGGGACATTGTTGGTGGGGAATGTGCACTGGTGGAGGGATGGGTGTTTCATCATTGTATCACTGAGATTCAATCATGAAAACCTCGCAACTGTATCTCATGATGATTCCATTAAAAACAAAAAAACTGACCCCTGGTCCTATCCCTGACACCATAATTGGTCCCCTGGTCACGGCCATGAGTGATCCCTTAGCACAGAGCCAGCCAGGAGTAAGTCCTGAGCATTGCCAAAAACAGACCCAAAATATTCAAAGGGGAGGCAAGGAATGGGGCTCCGTAATAGCGCTTAGGACTTGCAGGCATGAGGTTCTAGGTGTGATGCTTAGCACTGAAAAATAAATAAATGTGAATACCAAGAAAAGAGAAAGGAACTCATTTCTAAAATTGAAATATTTGTGGCGATATTCTGTGTTCCAGTTCTTGACCTTCCAGCAGGTAAAACCTTGTTATCAGATTTAACTGAGATAATTGAGGTCCAGAGGAACATTGCCTGAGGTCAGCCAGGTTATGACACAGGTTTCTATTTTCACTCTCTTTCGGGATTAGTCAGAACAGTGTGGACTCCAACATTTTAAAATCAAATGAATAATATGCAAATGGTGTTGCCAGGCAGATGCTCACAGAAATGAATGTGTTTCTCTCTCGGCTGCTACTGCTTCAGTTCCTTAGAGATGTACAGTCGTTTCCACTGTCTACTTTCAGAATCACTGTGGACTTAAGGCTCCTGGACCACAGCCCAACCTTCCACTCCTCTACGGTCTGATAGTCTTGACTTGGTTTGTTTGTTTGTTTTGGGGGCCACATCTGGCAGTGCTCAGGGCTTATGCCTGGCTCCGCACTCAGGGGGGCACTCTTAGCAGGGCTTGGAGAGTAAGAGGGGCCAGCAGTCAAACCCTGTGCAAGGCGAGCACTCTGCCCCCTGTACTGTCTCTCCGGCCTTCGTCCTCAGAAAATGCTTTTACGTAATCAGACATCCTCAAAAATATTTACTAAGCTTCCAGGACTTACTGATTTCACACAAACTGTGAATCTGGAACTCAAGGACTTCCAAGACAGTTTTCACTTCATGAAAGTACAGAAAAGCTGCCTAGATGCGATGAATGTACTCACTGCTTTGCAACTTGAGAATTTTCTTTTCACATTTTTTTTTCTCTCAGTGGGTCAAGTTTGATCCTTTCTCCAAGGACCAGTTCAGATCTGGGAAGTGTTCTTTTGGGGCACGGGGTTGGGGGACACACCCAGCGATGCTCAGGGGTTACTCCTGACTCTACACTCAGAGATCACTCCTGGCAGTGCTCAGGGGACCAGATGGAGTACAAGGGATCGAACCCAAGTCAGCCACATGTAAGGCAAGCACCCTACCCTCTGTTCTATCACTCCAGCCTTCTGGAGAGTGTTCTTAAAAGAGCCCATTTCTGAGCCATATGTCAACCTGTTGTCCTTCAGGGGCTCGGTGAGTAATACTGAGCCTCCAGCCATCATTTACTGACTCGGAGTAAGTCTTTTTTTTTTTTTAATTTGAAGACCATAGTGCTCAGAGGCGACTCCCAGAAATGCTAGATGACCATATGATGCCAGTAATGGAACCCTCTCCAGTTCTCTGAACCCTAATCCCCAGCTCCTGAACGAAAGATACTTTCTTTTGCTTTGGAGACCACAGTAGGTGGTGCTTGGACACTGCTCCTGGCTCAGTGCTTGGGTCACTTGCAGCAGTGTTCAGGGGACCATTCAGAGCTCATTCACACAAAGCAAGTGCTCCAACTTATTGAGCTCTTTCTCACCCAATTTTCCCAATTTCAAAAGCAGGAGCTTTACCTCCTCATTTTGTAATAAAATATCCACAGAGCAATTAGTAATCCTGGAGAAAGTAGGAAGCACCTGGAGAGAATGAACCCCAACACCCCCCAAACTCTCAGCGTAGTTTTTTAGCAAGAGGTGACTTTGAAGGACAATATTCTACTAGGACTGTAGCACTGTTCTCCCGTTGTTCATCGAGTTGCTCCAGTGGGCCCAGTAACGTATCCATTGTAAGACTTGTTGTTACTGTGTTTGGCATATCACATACGTCACAGGTAGCTTGCCAGGCTCTGCCGTGCAGGTGAGATACTCTTGGTAGCTTGCCGGGCTCTTCAAGAGGGGCGGAGGCATCAAACCTGGATCAGCCAGGTTGGCCGCGTGCAAGGCAAACACCCTACCAATGTGCTAAATAAATAAAATGAATATAAACTCAAAAAAAGTTCAATATTTATAATTACTAGAGTTCCAGGGAAATGTTTCTGGAAAATTCTTAACTTTTTTGGAACTTTCTGGGAAGTTCCAAAACATCAATGTGGGCACTTCCTACACATCCTCCCCAACCCCCACCTCAAAAAAAAAAAAAGCACCAAAACAGGAACAACCAGCATGGACCAGCTTGGCTGAGATGCAGGTGAGAAGTGACAGAGTCCCTGTAAATCTCTTCCTCTTTGGAATGACTGTCCAGTGAAGTTTCTCTCAGGACTTTATCTTGGAAATAGGAGACACCTAGCACAGCCCTCTCCTCAACATTGGTCCTCTTTGCTACCAGAAGTAATTCCTGAGTGCAGAGACAGGAGCATCACTGGGTATGGCCCCCAAACAAGCAAACAAAAAGATTTCAGCTCCTCCTGAAACTGAAAACATGACTCTAAGGGCTGACACCATGATCCAGGGATTTGGGAGTGTGATCAAAACCAACAGCAACAACGAAAACGATTGGCCCTCCTATGCAGAGCTCTGTACACCAAAAGCATAAACATTTACTCTATTATAAAAACAAACATAAAAGATGAATGATAAACAAAAAGAACTGGACCTTCTGAGAGAATTCGTATAGTCTTTTACATTAAACAAAGCCTAAAAGTAGCTATTCTGTGGGGAGCAGGAGTTATAAAATGAATACACGTCATTAAGTGAGAAGAAAGGATGGAGGGAAGGAAGGAGAAAGAGAAAGAAGATAAAGGGATGAGAGAGAGAGAGAGAGAGAGAGAGAGAGAGAGAGAGAGAAACCGACCCGTGTTTGATTCCCAGCATCCCATATAGTCCCCTGGGCAATGCCAGGAGTAATTCCTGAGTGCAGAGCCAGGAGTGACCCAGAAAGCAAAAAACAAAAACAAACAAAAAAAAGGAATGAGAAGAAACCTGAAATTTGGGGAAGGGGACTTTAGGGGTACTGGGAGCCCCAGGGTGATCAGCTGAGCTGTATAGGGCAGACAACCCCACCCCTCCAGGGGTACCCTGGAGATGCTCAGATTCTCCCTGTGGCAGAGTATGTGCTTTGCTTCTCGGGGGTCCTGGTTTCCTCCTTCGAGCAGATAGTAGAGGGGTGAAGGCACCGGCTGGCCTTGCATGTGGCAAATCCCGGTTTGATCTCCTGTACCACATATGACCTGAGCACTGCCAGTAGTGATCTCTGAGCACAGAATCTGGAGTAAGCCCTTTCTGCTCCTTAAAATTTAGTGTCTACATCATATTGTGACACCTTTGCACTACAGAGGTGCTTTACATCTTATAGTACTTGTTTCATTTCTCACAACCGCATGAGAATAGCAGAGAAGGTCCCCCCTCTACTTAGGGACAAATGTCACAAGCTTCAGTCCTGCACCACATTCCCATGACCAGCACTAGAACCTGCTCTTTAATCTCTGAGCTTCTGTCCATCGTCCCCAGAGATATGTTCTAGCTCTGTCTGGTCTGTATTTCCTAAACTCATACAGACTCTCACTGACTCTGGGGGTTTCCTCTGTTATGCAAATGTATTTCACGGAGAGATCATGAAAGTAGAAAATTGATTGATTAATCAGTGTGGTTAT